TATATATATATATATATATCGTCACAAATAGAACTGCCCGGTAAACCGTAGGCAGAGAGAGAGAAGAGGACAACAAACGAGGGGCTGTGACAAACTGTTTCGTCGGAGTTTCACCGACTCATCAGGAGGCTGAAATATATATATAAGGCAGACGAACAACAAGCAAAAAATATGTTCAGAGAAACATCACACTTGTCAGCTACAACAAGAGTCGTAAACTTTGAGAGTATATGAATCTAAAAAATAAACAAGATCCCAAAAAAAAATAAAAAATAAAAAAAATAAAAATAAATAAAAATAAATAAATCAACAAGATTGATACATCATTCATTGAAACACTGGAAGACAACTGTGTATGTCATGAGCACAGCCAGCAGGACGCTCAACGGGTGGGACTCCCCATACAACACATCTACACAGCCTTGTAATGGTCCCCCCTAAGGGCTACCCGGCCGGGGATGTGAATGTGCTGGAGTCCAGTATAGCAGATTCCTAGCGCGGGATTTTTTTGCGACTGCCTAGTATGCACGAAATCGATCCAACCAGTACTCTTGCGACACAGGAACCTGCAGCGGTTTTTATTTCCCCTTTTTCGTTTCTTTTGCTTTTTTTTTGGGGGGGCCCTCTTTTGCCCCTGGGGCCTGGAACCACTAGCGAAGTATTCTACGATGTGTGACGCAATTTTATGGTTTTTCGGAAAATACAAAGTGATTTTTTTATTTGCATGAATGGATCGTTGTCTGATTTAAAATGAATTGAAATAGCACATAAAACCATGAAGAACAGCTGTGCACCCGCATTCATGGGTTGGTACGATCTCCTTCACGTAAGTCTTCATAGTGATGAACCGTGGCAATAGAATGTGTCCACGAACACAGCCACGAGGATGAACAAGTAATGGGTATGGGGATACATTCATCACCATGTATCTCATGATGCCTCTAACAGGCCATCCGACAGACACGGAAGCGTTCCTGTCAGATCCACCACGATATCTGAATTTCACATTTCAAGTTCGATTTCTCAGAGCCAAAAAAATCGAAAACGAAGTCTGGAAATCAACCCCCCCCCTTTTTAAATCCATAAAATCCAGACTTCCCCCCCACGCAAAGCCACGAGCTATCATGGCCAACTTTTTTTTTTTTTTTTTTTCGACGCATGTCATTGGACAGGAGGTGGGCATCTTTACAGTCCCCGCTCGGAAAATACCAGGCCGTCAAGATCCGATGTATTCGACGGCCGTACTGTGTCACTCGAGGCCACACATGATCGAAATCCTGAATGAAGTGGTAGAATACTTCGCTAATGGGTCCAGGCCCCTGGGGAGCATAAGTGCAGTTCCTATTCCACCAGCAGGTCAGGGAAAAAAAAAAAAAAAAAAAAAAAAGGAAAATTACATAAAATAGTAAAAATACCCACTCTTGACGTGCTTCGCCACATTACACCCCAGGCATCCCTGACACAGCATTGATTACATCCTTCGGAAAAACTCTCTCTCTCTCTCTCTCTCTCTCTCTCTCTCTCTCTCTCTCTCTCTCTCTCTCTCTCTCTCTCTCTCTCTCTCTGTGTGTGTGTGTGT